TAGTCTTGTATCCCTTCTAGCTACATCCTCATTTCCCCTTTCCCTTGATAAAACTTTTAGAATAGTACTCTACTACTCAACTCTCTCCATTTTCTCATCTTCCCCATCACTTCTCAATTCTCCGTAATACACCTTTAGTGGTGGCCCGATACTCTACTGAAAGCCACCAATGTTTTAAATGTCAAAAAGAATGGACACTTCTCATTCCTTTTTTTTTTTTTTTTTTTTGGGCCACCATGTGGCTTGCAGGATCTTAGTTTCCCAACCGGGGACTGAACCGGGCCCTGGCTGTGAAAGCTCCGAGTCCCAACCACTGACCGCCAGGGAATTCCCTTCTCATTCCATTTTTATTTGCGGTTTTAAATGATGTAAATAAATACAACACAAAAATACTCCTGGCTTTGGAATCAGAAAAATCTTGAGTCTGAATCTCAGCTTCACTATTTCTTGAAAACCCACGGACACCAGAATAATTGTTTGCTCCACTGTCGTTCGTATTCAATGTTTACAACTGCCCTATGAGGTAGGTAATACCTAGGTTAAAAAAAAAAAAAAATCAATGGCCCTTGTAAGAGAGGTGTGGCCTCTGTCCTCAGCTCCTGGGAGGTAATCTCTAAGCTCTTATAATGTTCTGCCTGGTATATCTGGGGTCTTGGGTCACACCAGAGAGTCTAACAATGTGATTTATCATGGGGGCTCTGGGTGAGGTGTTAATCAGCTTGGCCTCTAGAGGAACTGGAGACTGAAGTCAGCCTAGGAGTGGGGACAGTATCTAGGGGACAGAGCCGCAGTAAAAACTATGGCTATGAAGGGTCAAGCAAGCTCTCTGGCAGGCCATACTCCATGCTCACCGCCACGCCTTGCTGCCAGGAGAGGTCAACACTGCCCACGGAAATGACCACTGGAAGCTAAGCATTTGGAATTCTCCTGGACTCCATACCACGAGTCTCTTCCCTTGGTTGACTTTAATCTGAATCCTTTTACTGCAGTAAACCATAACCATAGGTGTAACAGCTTTCAGTGAGTTCTGTAAGTTCTAGCGAATTACTGAACCTGAGGGTCGTCTTGGGGAACGAAACTTGGAATTGGTGTCAGAAATGAGGGTGGCCTTGGGGACTGTTCTCTAACTCTGCAGCCTCGCAGTGTGAAAGCAGGTGACTGGTGAGGGCAGTGGCTGGGCAAGGGAATTCTGGACCTGGGTCTCCGGGACTTCCGGTCTTGGACTTTTAACCTACATTGTTTTGGTTTGTTTGCAGTTTTTTTTTGTTTTTTGCGGTACACAGGCCTCTCACTGTTGTGGCCTCTCCCATTGCGGAGCACAGGCTCCGGACACGCAGGCTCAGCCGGCCCAGCAGCTCCACGGCATGTGGGATATTCCCAGACGCGGGCACAAACCCGTGTCCCCTGCATCAGCAGGTGGACTCTCAACCACTGCGCCACCAGGGAAGCCCTGTTTGCAGTTTTGAAGCACGTCAGCCTTAGAGTCCTTGCTTTAACATTTCAACTCCTTCCCCTCGGGGCATACATGGCCTGAGTAAATGTTAATTTCTTCTCCTTCCTGTAACTAGCTAGTCAGGTGACCTTAGTTACATTGAAGGTTCAATCGGAGACAGAATGTGGTCCACTAGCAAGGCACTTGACTCTGCTTTAATTCTTCCTCACATTCCAAAACTGCTGGATTAAAATTCTTTCGCATGCTAAAAATTCTATGATTCTATTTCTTCAAGATTCAAAAGATATAAAAGACAGTAGATCTGAAGCCAAGAATTAGTTCTCTCCCTCAGTATCAGTAAACTATGTCCGCAATAGTCATTTAGAAAAACCTCCCAAAGAGAAAATCTTTATTTTTAAAAAATAATCAGTTGTTTCATGCAAACGCTACAGCTAACCCAAAAGTATATTCTATTTAAACATTTTTAAAACTTAGTTGGAGTTCTCCAAGAAGCTGATGCCAAGAAGAGACTGCACATGCAAGGATCTTTATTACGGAAAATGCCTGGGAGCGAGAATGAGGAGGTAACCCAGTAAGGCTAGAAAAGCCATTATACCGTGAGCAAGTCTGAGCTGCCACTCAAAACCTGTTACAGAGCAGGTATGGCTCAATGAAATGACACCATGATCTCTTTAAAAAGAAAAACAGTTTACATTTTCTCTGTACTTCATTTAAAACCAGTGCACATTTATATTTGTATATAAATATACAAAGTACATACAGAAAATATCAACTGATAATAAAACCTCAGCTGAAAAGTGAGGCAAGGTTGTTGCAAAACAGTCAATCTAAAGAGAACTCTGGCGCCCCAAGAAACTACCACCCTCTCTGTCCTTACCTTCTGAGATAAGTATCTTGGCTTTCTCCACTTTCTCACTTCCCACTCATCACAATCTGGCTTTCTCTTCTCTATTTGCAAGTGCTTTCCAATTGTCAAATCTGGTCTAAGTCTCCTTGGACCATTCTGCTATATTTGACACCATTTTATCCCTCTTCTCTTCAGGCCTCAACAACTCTTGGCCTTGATGAACTGTAACAGTAGAAATGAACTGTCCCAATGGAACGAGAGCCCAAGGTTCCCAGCCTTTAAGACTTTACACTCTAACAAGGAAACTCCTGAAGATCACATTTAGTTTCAGTAAAATGCTGTATTTGACTCGGTGACACCAACCTCCTCTCAGTTCTATTTCTATGCCTGGTCCTCCTCCATTTTCTTGTTAGGCTCTTATCTTCTCCACTCACTTTAATATTCACGTTTCCGAGTATTCTCACAGTCCATGGCTTATTAAATTCTTTTCACTCTGTGTTCCTTGGATGATCTCATCGGCTCTCACTGTTCTGACAACACCTATGACTCCCACGTCTGTATCCTCAGGGCTGACCCTTCCCTTGAGCTGTGGAGTCAAACAGCCAATTGTGCTTGTGAAAGGCACCCATTTTCATATCCCAGACGTTCAGAATCAACATGTTAGAAACAAAATTCATTATCTTCCCCTCCTAAACTTTCTCAACTTTGTTTCCTGTCAGTTAATGGCACCATCGTTTACGCCCTCACCAAGCCAGAAACATGCAAGTCATCCCTGACTCATCCCTCTCACTGATGAACCAAGCCTGCCTCTTAAATATTCATCAGACTTGCTCATCTTCCTCATTCTTCTGCCACCACCCTATGCTGGGCCCTCATCACCTCTTTGTGTAGAATATTTCATTGGCCAACTAACCAACCTCCTTGCTTTTTGGTCCCCTCTAGACTATCCTTTATCTTCCAGCCAGAGGTGTGTAAAACATGAATACGACCATATCATTCCCTTTTGAGAAATTGTCGGCTCTCCACTGCCTACAGGCCAAAGTACAAGTTCCTGAGCATGGCACACACACCTTTCCCTGCTCTAGGATGACCTTTCAGCCTCATCGCTAGCCATTCTCTGCTTTGTACTCTTCCTTCAGCAACACCAAACTACTGGTACTAGTATGTGCCCAAGGCACCATGCAGTTTAACTCATGTATTTGTTCTCGCTATTTTTCTAGCCCCCAAATGCCTTAGGACCAGAGAGAATTAAAAGTCTACTCAACTTACGGCTACGACCATTTGCTGAGTGACTCCTATGCTAGGTACTCGGGTGCACTAAATTCAACATGCCTGCTTTACACATGGAGGAACTGAATATCAAAATATGTTATTAAACAACTTGCCCAAGGTCACCTGGTGGCAGAGCTAGAATGCAACGCCATTTGTTAAAGGTGATTTTACCTATATATTTTTTTACCTCATACAATTCTGCTAGTTATTTTTTTTACCACAAAAAATTTCTTAAACTTTCAGTACTTACCAATATAGTCCAACACTGATTTCTGAGCAGCTACTTTCCTCTAAATTTAATTCCTAGTGAAACTCTGTTTTCAAATAAATTCAAACTATGCTGGGGAAACCAATGTATAGACTAGAAGTGCACAGTGGAATGGGAAGAAAATAAGATATGAATGGCCCTCCCTGCAACCGTGCAATTGGGTTTATCACATGGCAGTATTTCCTATCAGTCATGGCTTTGGTTTGGGGAAAGGCTTAGAAATCTTTACGTACGACTGTGAAATTACTACTTGACCTATAAATATTAAAGGAAAAAAACCCACCAAACCCCATCCTTAGTTACAAAAAATATCCATTTAGAACATAGCATATAAGGTAACAAATAAGCCTTAAGGGGAATAAACAAAAGTCTTACTTCCTCTTCAAAATTTTTATTTCATTATTTTTGTATATTTCTGATATAGAGTGAACTAAAGGTTATATGTAGTATTTTTAGAGGTTAAAGAAGGGCAGGGATATAGGAATACCGGTATTATAGGTAGTTGTGGTGTCAACATATTTAGGTCATAATCTAAATTTTTGCAAAATCACCTGCTATACTGATGTGCAAATCAAAACATGGGCACTATAATCATTAATAAGCAGAAACTGCTCATCCAGCCTATATGGCTTTATTGGAAGCCTGGAAAAGATGCTCATGGAGCATATTCTGTTAGCTACCTAGGAAACATCTAAGTCAGCTAGGTGCTGCTACCACATGGCGGGTAAATATGGCTCTCACAACAGTTAACCTCTGGTTTCAATCTTGGCTACATTAGAATCATCTTGGAAGTTTTTTTTTTTTTTAAGTCTTTGTTACGATATTGCTTCTGTTTTTTATGTTTTTTGGACAGGAGGCATGTGGGATCTTAGCTCCTGAGCAGGGGTTGAACCCACACCCCCTGCATTGGAAGGCGAAGTCTCAACCACTGGACTGCCAGGGAAAGTCCCATCTTGGAAGTTTTTAAAAAGTGATGTCCAGGTCCTGGTCTAGTACAACTGAAACTGAATGTCTACAGGTGAAGTCTATGAATCTGTATTTTTAAAATGCAGCAGGTGATTCCAATATATAGTGCGGGCTGAGAACCACTGAGTTAAACACTTAGAAGGCACTGACCGTGGTTCTGAGTTCTTGGCTGATGCCTTGTAATAACAGATTAATAACAGAAAAACAAACACACCGTTTATTAACACGTATACCTCATGTATACATGGGGAGATACCCAGGGAAAATCCAACTCTCAGAGGTGGCTTAGAACTCTGGCTTAAATATCATCTTCAGCTGAAGCCAAAAGAAGAAAGGCATGTGTGGAGGGGAGAGGCTAGGTATGGAAGGTTAAAAGCACAGCATAAACAAGGGTAAGGCTTCTCTTGTAGATTTAAGTCACGGCCTTCTCCATTAAGAGTCTAAAGTTGTCTCCAGAAAGTAACCTTTGTCCTGCCTGGTAGAGAGGGAAAGAACACCACCTCTGTAAATGTGTGTCCTGCTTTTAGGCACATTGGTGGAGGGCAAAGAGCCTTTCTTGTGTCTGCTTTCTTCTCAATTGCCTTCAGCTCAAAATAATCTTCATGCCAAAGTGGCATATCTTGGGGTGGCATATTCTGCCACCCTTCATAACTAATAGGATTTGTGAAAATGATGGAGTGCAACTTTGTCATAATATTGTAGATGTTGCTGGTTCTACCATGCTCTCTCAGATCACTCAATCTGGGGAAAGCCAGCACCAGGTCTACAGGGTACTATACACAACTCCACGGAGAGATCCATGTGGCAGGGAACTGAGGCCCCCTGCCAACAGCCAGCACCAACTTGCCAGCCAGGTGAGTCAGCCATCTTGGAGGTTGATCCTCTTTCAAATGACTGCAAACCCAGCTGACATCTGGACTGCAACTCCAGGAGATCCTGAGCCAGACCAGAGCTGCCCAGCTAAGTTGCCCTGCAATTCCTGACCCTCAGAAGCTCTTTATTGTTTTCTTAAGGTGCTAAGTTTGGGGGTAATCTGTTATATAGCTACAGAAAACTAATAAAGCCGTTGTGTTTCCTTGGCATCTTTAATATTCAATAGGGCAATGCCTTTATTTCAGAATTATAGCCGAAGAATTTTTAAAACCTCAAAGGGGCCACAGCCAAGTTTGCACTGGGTAGGGAAATTTTCTATTCCTGGTTAGCAAATTGTAATTCCTTTTATTCGATTTCTCTCCAAGTTCTGTGGGTTCCTCTTTTAAGTGCAACAGAGTCACCCCTTCTTCAACATTCCCATCACCCCCTGGATATGACTCCGCAAAATATGGCTTTTCTCTATGGTTTACCCATGGTTCAGCATAAACTCCACTGGACTCTCCCCAAGAAATCCATAACAAAAAGTACCTGGAACAAAGAGTACTAATAAGAGTGCTAAATATGTGCTAGGCACTGGTCTAAGCATTTCATATGTATTAATATATGTAATTCTCACAGCAACTTATTACATAGGCACTGTTATTATCCCCATTTCTCAAATGAAAAATTAGGGCAAAGAGAAAAAATCATCTGTCTGCAGCCACAGCTAGAAAAACGTAGAGCTTAGACGCAGGATCATACTCAGGAAGTCTAGCCCAGAGCTTGCACCACTAGCTCCAAACATCCTGCGTGTAGGCGGCAGAATTTCTCCACCATGAAAATGTGGAGAGCTGGTTGGGGGTAAGAAGCAAAGTCACCACATCTAAAGTGCGGAACGGGGAAGAAAGACCCCAAAGCTGCCGGCAATGAAAATCATCCCTAGATATATGCTGTCTTCGAATCTTGGGAGAGGGACAACTGGCTCCATTTAGGGGATCCCAGTCCTTTTATCTTTCCTAAGCCCAGCAACCCTCACCTGGGACCTGTCCTTCAGAAGCTGCAGTTCCTCTTGTCCACACTGAGTCTCATTAAAGCATAAATGCGTCTCGAGTAGGTCATCACAGAAGCTGTTTTATTCAACAGAGCCAGAACAAACAAGAAGCCGTGCACTTAACCATGAGGAACGTCCACCTAATGCTCAGAGAAAATGGGTGGCAGCAGGTGAACCCCTCAAGTGACCTTGGGCAAATTATCTCACCTCGCTGGGTTTCAATTATAAATCGAAAGATAACCTATAAGTTTCTTTTGAATTCTAAAATGGTACAATTCTTTTCTTACCAAAGGACCACTGCAAATCCGTCCGAAACCAAGGCTGCCAAACTAATCCTCTAAACACCCATTTCTTCATCTCACTCCCTTAGTGAAGAATCCAAAATGACTCCCGAATGTCTCTTACATAATCTTTCATTTCTCATCAAGTTTGCAAGACATCCGTGAAACGGCCCCACTGATCTACCTATTTCCAACTATTATTCATTACAGTTCTGTTCCGTTCGGGCTGGTCTCCTTTTCACACGACACAATTCACACCTTTTGAGCTTTTGGTCTTGTTACCTCCTACCACAGATACAGCCAGAAATACTAAAGTTCTCCCCACCAGGGCTAAGTCCAAGGCCTTCAATGAGGTCACGATTCTCTTTTTCAGAAAACCTTTCCTGATTTTTGCTATTTGTCCTCTTCTTCAGTCAGTACGAATGAAGTAAATCTTTACAAGATGCAAGGTGCTGCGAAGAGTCACAACTCCTTTGGAAATCGTTACATTTAGCCGATATCAACTCGGCGCTCCGGGCAAGAACCACGCACCAGCGGACCCCTGTACCCCCAAAGCATCCAGCCCTGTGGGCTAAGCAGACACCCAAACCCACCGACCGGGCCGGCGGGGAGCGGGGCTGCGGCCGCCGAGGCGCCAGGTGTGTGAAGCCGTCGGGTGACGCAGCGCAGGGGACAGGCCGACTCAGCCAGCAGGGCAGTTCCCCAGCCCGGTTCCATCTGCCCCAGCCTCCCGTACCCTCGACGTCCAGGGCCGGGCTGGCCGCGGCCGGACCTCCTCGCCAACCTTCCCTGCCCCACCGAAAGGTCCCGCAGTCCCCGCCCCGCCCCGCCCGCCCGCCCCACGGCCGGCCGGCCGGCCGGCCCACTGGCCGGGGTCTGGCGGCTGCGAGAGGTCGGAGGGGCGGGGCACCGGGGCGGCCCCAGGTGTGTCGCGCGCGGGGGGCGAACGCCACTCACCGCGGCCGGACACCAGCAGCAGAAGCCGGACTGCCTGCTCGAGACGAACGAGGCGAAGAACGCGGAACTGCAGCTGGGATGCAGCGTTAGAGCGGCGACACCCGCACTTCCTGCCTCGGGAGGCGGACCGGAAGTCGCACCGGAAGTCGAGGCGGGATCCAACCCCAGGTGGAGGGATGCGCTGCGGTTCTCGCTCCGCTCGAGGCCGAGTCCACCTTGTCCACCTGGGCGCGAGGCTGGGGCCGACGACCACGGCTTGGGTTTTCGTGGTGTTTCTCGGGCCGTGCGGTCTGAGGCAGGCGCAGCGCGGCCGGGGCGCCGCGGCCCGCTCACCTCCCCGCTTTCCTCCCCCGCCGCTCGCGGCGTGTCCCGCGGCCCTTCCGCATTCCCGGGCCGGCTCGGGGCCGCCATGGAATTTGACCCGGCTGGGCGGGCGCGAGGCCTCGAGGTTTGGGGGTCTGCGGGCGCCGCCCACCCAGGGCTGCCCGAGTTAGCAGGTAAAAGTAGACCTCACCTGGTTACACTTGAACTTCAGATAAAACGAGCAGTTTTTTAGGTTCCGTCCCGCGCCACACTGGGGAAGGTAAGAGGGCTGCGGCCGAGCGGTCTCCGCCTGCTTTACAGACTGCACGCCCAGACCGAGTTCTATCATTTACCTCTGCCTCTCCTGTTTTACCCTCAGATTATCAGGTGTACGCCCTTACCAGGCCACGGCTGGTGACGTTTTCCCCTTTCAACCACAGGGAAGCTTTATTCAGGTTATTTGTTTTCCTTTGGTTCGTCAAAGACAATGCAGATTTACACACACAGAAACGCGCACACACTATATAATGCTCTTGGTCAAAACGAAACCACGAAGCTACATAATTCAATTTTTGTTCTAGATATTGTTTGTGCCTATAACCTTCAAGTTCCCTCACCTTGGAATATTACAGATAGACACTACTATTTCCGGATAATGGAAGGTAGTCCACTTAATAGCAAACCTTCGTTGAGCACTTGTGATTGCCTGAACGTGTGCGGGATGCAGGGAGATGAACGAATAATCCAGTCTTACATTCTAGAAAAGTTTGATGAGAAATTAGGTATCTTTGATCAGGAATTCCTATATGGTAGGAACCATGTGTTCAACACGCTATAGCAGTAGTTCTTAAACAGTAGCACCAATAAGAAAAACCTGGGGGCTACGTAAAAGATTCTGGAGCCCAGCCCCAAGTATTCAGATTCAGTAGGTCGAGGGTGGGGCAAGAATCTGCATTCCTAATAAGCCCCAGGTGATGCTTATACCGTGGTCCGGAGTTAGCACTGCCCCAAGGTCCTTAACTGAATGCATTTTCTCAATGGAGTTTGAAACCAATTGCTGAGAAATCATATCTGGTTCTAAAATATTTACTCTTTTCCTTAGCTGTAGTCTGCCCTTTGGTCCAATAATTTAAATATTTTTCCACTCCTGAGAACATTTTGGCTTCTGAGGTCTTTGTCAGAGAGCTCTTTCAAGTATGGTCTATTACTATACCATAAGCCCTCACCCTGGCCACCTTAATTAAGATCATAGCTGAGACACTCTGTACTTTGACTTAGATCTCCATATTTGTTTCTAGAACTGCTTTCCAACACAGTGGTCACTAACCACATGTGACTATTTAAATGTAAATTAAAAACTCAGTTATATTAGACACATTTTAAGTGCTCAATAGTCACATGTGACCTAGTGTCCTTATTGGACAGCACAGAGAGTGCATTTCCATCATCACAGAAAATTCTACTGGATAGCACTGTTATAGAAAAATAATCTTAGGGTATAGTGTTCTCTCTAGATTCAAAAGAAAAACTTAATATTTATTAATGAAAAGCTGAATATCTAAATACCAGATAATTGTTTATTGTGGTCATTAAAAAGAATGGTTTAAAAAAAGGTAATATACTTAACACTCAAAACAAAAATGGTGGGTATGCCAAAACATGACAATTTAACATACATTAAACTAAAAAACAAGGTGTATATTCACTACAACTACAAGATGTATGTAGATAAATGTGAAAGAGAAGTTATGATGCCTATTATTTGAGCAGGCACATATAAACCTAGGATAAAAAGATACAGGGACTTGGGAAAACTGGCTGTTTCTTCAATATGGGATTAGCTTCAGCAATGCCTTTCAGGACAGCAAAGATAAAAACCAGGGTTGCAGGGCAATCAAGAAATTGTACACTTAAGGAGGATCTAGAAAGACACAAACTATGCTGGCATATTGGACCTACTCAGGAAATCTAAAATAAACTGAGGACCTACTTGGTACCACACATTTTTATGTATATTCTCATTAAATGCTCATAACAACCCTTTAATTAAATTCTAGTTTGAGACAATTTACTATCAAACCACTATGGACCTTTCTCCTAACCTCGGCTTTTAATCTCCAACTATGATTAAACTCCTATCACCTACCCTTTCCTGTTTTCAGAGGGAGCAGTATCCATTTTTGTTTTTCTAAGAATAATCTTACAACATGTGATCTAGGTTCTATCTCTTCCTAGCTCCTGCACATCATTCCTTTGGTTTCACTCATTTGCTTACACTCGTTTGCCTTCTTCCTCTGTCTACAGACAGGCTTGAATCTCTAAAATGCTCTTTGGTCCTGCCTTCCCTTCAAGCCTCTCCTCACTGCCCAACAGCCCCTGCTGGTAAACAGAATAACCACTATTTGAATACCTACTGTGTGCCAGACCCATTTAGCTTTAGTGTTTCTATTTTCACAACAAACGTGGAGGGTATTGTCCCTGTTAAACAGGTGAGGAAACTGACACTTAGGGCTGGGCCACCTGCCCAAGGACACAAAGCTCATCAAATAACAGGCATTATTCACCCAACCACGGCTGGCTCTAAAACCTATACTGCTCCTAATCACAAAAATGCTGCTTTATATATTAATAGATTATGTTCCTATTATGAGCCAGAGCATTACTTCAATTTTACAAATGAATAGAGGTCGAGCGAGGTTAAATAACTTTCTTAAGGTTATAAAGCCATGATGTAGCACGAATGAGATTAAAATGCAGCTGGCCTGACCCCCAAACCCAGACATTGTCCGTGTCTCCTGCTACACTATGGATTCTGCACTCAAAACTACCTTAACAGCTCTGGCAGAAGTGACCGACTTGCCAAATCCAGTGGCCTCATTTAAATTTTCCTGTGTTCGATTTTTCTGTGGTTTAACACTACTAACTTCCTCACTCTTGAAATGATTCACTTGGTTTCCATAACACTGTTGTGGCCCTATCTACTAAGCTCTTTTACCATCTTCTATCTGATCCTTCTTACAACTTGCCTGCACTTCTCAAAGTCTAGTACATCTCTTGCTGTCCTTTCCCCCCCTCATACTTTGTAAAAAAAAAAATAGTTGCCTTTCTTTTCCAGAATTTGCTTTTACTTGTCTCATATAGTCTGGCCTGCTCCCTTTTTTCCCAGTAGCACTCATAAATTCCCACTCTCGTGCAGTCATAGAGGCTCCTTGATCAAATAAAATTTGGGCCCTGGAGTCCAAATGACAATGTAATCATAAGCAGGTGGGTAAGGAGGCTGCCCCCATTAGGCTGGTTTTGAAATGGTTTGTTTCAAGTCTGGCTTTCATCGTGGAGACCAGTTTTTCTATCAAATGCACTGTTGGAGTAGATGCTTTAGCTTTTTACTGTCAATCAGCTTTACTTAAGCAAAGCCTACTTACTACATAGAGAATGCTATTACTAAATGAGGAGACATTTCATTCAGAAGAGACTATCCACTGTTTCTAATGGCGGCTGGTTCTTTGAGCAGTTATCTGAAATGGAAGTGGAGATACTGCAAGAGATAATTTTAGTAGATGAGGCTACCTTTTTTTCAGTACAGAAACAATGTTATTTGTTCTTGACTGGAAATTTGTTAACAAAGCAGAAGTTATTTTTTTTTTCAGTTGAAATGTAAATTTAGTTCAACAATTTCAGCATCATGGCGCTACCCTGGAAAAAGTACTTTGCTTAAACCACTGAACAAAATTCAGGAACACATTAAAGGCAGAGTTAAGGCAGGTGCTAAGATTCTAATCTTGAAAGGGCCAAGAGCAGCCTTGTTACTAGTCCTACTCCTATTTTAAGCTGGTCTCCTGAGGTTAAAGAATCTAGCTCACCTATCCTGTGAGTGTAAAGGTCTGCTGCCCTGAAGGCATTCAGTAATTGCATATTCAACGAGGTAATAGTTTTGTCCGAGGACAGTCTTGTTAATAGTAGTATAAAACATAAAGTTATAGTAATTATCAATTATTCATCTTCACAGGTTAATTGTCAACCCTCTTCACCCAACATTTCCCCCCACTGTTTCAAGATCTTTCTTAAACTTATGAATCCTTGAGAGTCAGATTTTTGAAGCCCAAAGTGAATGAAACTGTCTACCATTTCCTGATTAACTCTTAAAACAGTCCTGCATTCCTGCAAATAGCAGAAGTTATTTTTAGGATTGAAATAATGACCTCACTTTCCCAGGCATGTAGCTTCAGCTGTTCTGACCACGGGCAGGTCAGGAATGTCAAACATTCACAAATGAACTCATGTGAATCTCTGCATAAATAAACACAGTACTTCAATGAGGACTGTGTGA